CCTCAAGATTCAGCTTACAAATACGTTGTCACCCCTGAGGACTAAGATGGAATAAGTGATATATAAATTTAACACAGCAGCATTAAACTAGTATTTTATGTTGGTATTCCGTGCTACAACATACAACATATCGTATAAAATAATTTCAGAAGCGCTTGTGTTGATTGATCTGTCAGTTCATTTGAAATTTAAGATAAGCGCCCAGCTTTTAATCTGCTCTTTCTTTCAAACATTTTTAAAATATTACCAGACCTGATATTTTCATTGAGCTTTTTGGCTAGTTTGTAAAGTAGATAGTTACTGAAAGACTGTATTATCCCTTAGTGTACTGAAGCTCTAAGTCTCCATTCTTGCTACAGTTGAGAAGCTCAGCTTCTATCTAGCTAAAGATTTTAGAAGTTATATTCTTACCATGCATGCATTTTTGTATTTAAATATTCTGCCTTTAAAAAAATCACACCTATCCGGTGTTTTTTTTTTTACTAAACATTAAAAATTTATCGATCAAATGTGCAAAAAGAAACTACTAAATTGTCTATATTAATCACCAAGTACATTTTTGTTATCACAACATCTTGACTCTTCTAGTAGAAGGCCAATCAAGCCAATTTTATTTACTAGGGATAGATTCAATATAAGTATGAAGTAGTGTTAGTACCGTCCTCATGTCAATTGAATTTTATTTTAGTAGTTTCCTGGAAAGTCATATTTTACTGCGAATTCGTCAATATCTTTCCGACAATCAGCAAAGTTGTCAAAGTTCTGTTCAAAACTAGTACTAATCTATTCACCAGCTAATAACCATGTAAACACAATATAGAAAGCAATTAATTCATTAATTTCATTTAAAATGTTTTGCTACAAGTATCAGTTCCCTTACATTCTACGAGTGTATGTAACATACCCAACGTACCTTTAAATACCCTTTTTACTGAAAAGGAGGCATTCCATCTTAATCCTCATAGATAACACCGCATATACGTTTTACGAAGCAAAACGCATATGCGGTGAATCGGGGATAGATTTGCATGTCTTTGGGCCACAGCAACCACTTACCATCAGGTGGACTGTGTGATCGTTTGTCACCCTTATACTTTAAAAATATCAATTTATTTACTCTATATTGTTACACTTACGCCAAACTCTCAGCACTCCATGGTGTGACTGGTAAAGAATGCCCCATGGCATTAAGTGCACCCTTTGTATTATATATATATATATATATATATATATATATATATATATATATATATATATATATATATATATATATATACAGTATATGTAACAAAAACCCTGTGGTTCCCGTTAACTACTTTATCAGAATCAGTATCCGAGCATATAGAAATAACGTTTTTTTCAAAAAAAAAACACATTTAAAAAAATTAATTTTAATGAAAAAAAATTAATTTGCAAATGGTATGTGGTTTTATTATCCTTGCATTGGTCGAGGAGTAACAGGATTGTAAATGATCCCGCATTACCGATACTCGTGTGAGTAAGAGGAATTAAAACCACATACAATTTGCAAATTAATTTTTTTTTCATTAAAATTAATTTATTAAATGTGTTTTTTTGAAAAAAAAAATTAATAAACGCTTGGATACTGATTCTGATAACACACTTAACGGGAACCACAGGGTTTTTGTTACATGTTGTATATAGAGAATGGAAAAAAGTAAAAATAATAATAATAAACTATCTTATGAAAACAAAGTCTCAGAATTTTAAGCACTTGGGTGGGTATTCAAAACCATCAGCTCAGTAGAGCATTAAGACAACAATGATACTGACAGGCCGTCTAGAGCAAGTCGCACCGCTGCTGGCGTACAGCCAGCGGGTACGCACGTCACTACGTCATCGCTCTGGCGGTACCAACCGTAGAATTCTAGAAATATTGATGCCATAGCAACAGTATGTTGTAACTTTCGAAGAAAAATTTCAAGTAACGTTACAATTAAAGTAGTTCATGTTTTTGGATAATATTTATTTCCTCTTTTTTTGATAATTCAAAATAAACTCACGGATACTTTACTTAATACACATATCATTTCAATATAACTTTAAAATTATGAACTTAGTGTAATTGTTATAAACTCCAAAAAAAGATAAATTTTAACGTATTAAGTATACAAAATTTTACAAAAATTAACGAAACGAGATGAAGACGATATTATATTATTTTCATTTCAAGGAAGCATTCGTACATTTTTGGCGCATACGTATTCGGTTCTCTACACTGACAATACGAAACACAGCAACGTTGAGCTATTATCTCACGCCAGTATTCTGTGAGAGCGTGATCCTACCCGGTCGAGCCGACCCATTCGTGCTGCAACTATACTACGAATCTCTCTACCACGTGTATATTTGAAAATAATTCCAACAATGTTATTAATTAACTACCTAGTATATTTGCACATTTTACAGATAAATAAAGTATACAAATTTAACTTATGGGTATATATATATATATACACACACTATGTACAAAACTAATTAAGTATACATATTTATATCCATAATATATATTAGAGAAAAGCTGACATCAGTAGTATGAAATAATTTTTAAATATTTTCATACTGCTGCTATTGTTTTAATATAGACTTTTCTTTCTTTTAACTTTTATATCTGATTTTATTATTTCCATATTTTTTACATTTTTTAAAAAAAATTTAAGTATTTTACTTTTATTTTTTTTTGCTATGAATATTACACATCGCTTAGATTATGTTACATATGATATATTATGTATTACATATGATATATTTTAATGATTCGTGTAACAAGGGTTGTCTTTAATGTAGATGATCACAAACCAACTTTTTAAAAGCATACTTACTGGTTCTCTTTCTGATGTTATCGGGCAAGGGGTTCCAAACAAGTGTAGCCTGGACTGAAAAAGGAATTACTATAGAACCTCACTTTAAACTGTGATAGAACTAAGTGAAGTGGCCAGTAATATAAAGTTTATTGTTGGAAGAAGAACGGAGACTTCCATTATGAGATTAGAAGAGTGTTATCATTATCATGAACAACCTAATGCTCGTAATCAAATCAATAAAAGTTACTTGAGAATGACTTTTATTTAATACTTAAACAGGTAAGAATTAAAAACTTAAGCGAAAATTAAATTTAAATCGACAATTTTGTCAACAAATACAACGTGTAATGACTAATTTGTTTGCCTACGTCTATCAGTAAAGTAAAATATTTTGATAGAAAAACAGGAGTCATGCAAACGTTATCGACATAAAAGAATTAGACTGACAAGAATAAAAGAAAGAAAGAATTAGAAAAACATTATAGTTTTCGTTTCAAATGGTTATCAAATAATTATTGAAACCGCTAATTCATCATTTGTATTTATGTGTATACGGCGCAAACACGTACATATGCTTTGTAAACAACGTGCATACGGTGCAAACACGTTCATGTCTTTGTTAAACATTCTACGCTACTTCAAGTTTAGTCATAAAACAACTAAACTTTCGTTGATAAAGTTTTTCATTTTTTAAACTGAATTGGTTCATTTATTAAAAATAACTGCGTACATTAATTTAGGATTAATTTTTTCGTATAATTTTTTTTAGAGTGTTGACTCCTACACAACATTACGTGTGTGTAGGAGTGTGTGAGTGATCAGCTTATATATACCGATGTTGCATTCTGTTGTGAATTAGGCACATAATACATTGCTGTGTGGATGGTGACTTGATAGAATTCATAACCTCATTTCGACCCATAGCTAGTGTAAGGGGAGACGACTTTTAGCAGTTCCATCAAATTATTATTATTATAAAACTTACTAATATTCGTAGCTGTTCCTTTATTATATTATATTCTTGCCTCCTTTACATTAAAAAAAACAGTTTCAGCAAATTTAAAAAAAGATAGATACATAATAAAAATCTAAATAATAATAAATAACAGATATAAATATTGCATCCAAACAATGATATCAAAGAAATCGTAGATTAATTATGGACTTTGTACAAATAACTAAAAACTAAAAAATAAGGTACCATGATGAGAATACTCTATTTACATTCGAAGTACCTACAAAGAAAAAACTTTACAAAATTAATAAGCGCTAGAATTTTTTTTAATAAGAGAAAGGTGACAAACGAGCACACAGTCCACCTGATGGTAAGTGGTTGCTGTGGCCCATGGACATCTACATCTATCCTCGATTACGAATCAAAATTCAAATGCGTTGTTACTCGTGAAGAATAAGATGGAATGCCTCTTTTCTAGTAAAATGGGTCTCCGGTTCTCTACACTCACCATACGAAACATAGCAGTGTTGAGCTGGTAAAAAAACGCTGGTATTCTGTGAGACAAACATTTAATTAAAAACGCATTATTAATAAATTTATATTACACGAGAAGTACCAGCTTTCAGAAATTCAAGAATTTCAAGACGCATCAAAATAGGTTCACCCAGAGAAAAGTTCTGAGGTAACACATAAAAAACATACAGTCGAATTGAATACCTCCTCTTTTTTAACATACAGTCGAATTGAATACCTCCTCTTTTTTGATGTCGGTAAAAATATTAGACGTCTCGGTAGACATTGGACTGCATTGAGTTGCTACGCTTCGGGCAGCGGCTCGTATACCCGATAGGAACAAGTATCTATTAATAATGCCCTTGAACGGTCTTGTGACAAACAATACTAAGAACGTCATGTATTGTGTAAACCTCATACAAGAGTAATGTTTGTGGCAATCATTTAATTGATAATCAATTTGGATTATAGAATATCTTAAAGACCACTTGCTGACCTTTGAGCACTCAAATTGTTTACGCACTCCTATAACAAAACTTGCGGAAGCCGTGGTCGAACCATTTATACGAACGCTCGAGGACGTCCTGTTTGCAGACAGAAATACAGTAGTAATTTGCTATTACTTTCCAGTAATAATTGCAATAAAAATATAAGACAAAGTAACTTCATTTTAATAGTAATTAATGCCTTGCTATATTTGTTTTCAGACAAACATGTTCGGCAAACGACACTGGACAAACTATGGAATAAACAGTCGTGTTCCATACAAACTCTCATTTCGATTTTAGAAGTAAGACAAATTATTTTATATCTTTAAAAGCTAACAATATCATTTACTGTTTTCTTATTTTCTTAACGGTTACAGAATACCAGAGATACAGCCACATCTACTTATATTACATCGATATTAAGAGAAACATTATGTTTGAAACAGGGAAAGGGAAAGAAAAATGCAGGTAAATAAAAAATATTTATTAACTTGAAGTCAACTGCATTGCTAATGTTGAAATATAACACTATGTGCTTATGATTAAATTTTTACAAAAGTATATTCAATTTTTACTCAAACTTCCAATAAGTGATTTAAATTTAGAATACATAATATATTACTTATAAGTTTCAAATTTTATTTTTTATTACACGGACAAATAGTTGCAATAGAAATACAAGGACTAAAGAAGCAAGAAATCAAAAAGAACGGAAAAGAAAATAAATCACCAATTGTAAAAAGGGGTATGTTTACGACTACTGTGACCATTTAACCGGTTTACTAATGAAACGTTTGTTTATTTCGTTTCTAATTGTTTACTAACAATATGTTTCCTTTTCACTGAAAAGTCTTATTCATTATGATCTTTATTATCCTATATTATGTATAGGCAATTTCCACCTTAGACACCCTGATTACCTTACCAAACATCCTTTCTCCTTGTATTTCTCCGTTTGAGCAAGTGACATTTGGGCATGCGCTTGCAGCGATTGCTTCATGTGACCTTGTTACAGTGATGAATGTGTGACGTGTCTTCTTAACTGGCGCATAACAAATTAACATTCTCATGCACACAGTATTACAAAAATGGCACAGAAAATTTAGTCTAATACGATTTTTGGCTGGCATTTACTTACTTATAAATTATAATTTATAGATTTATAGTCTCTCAAAAATGTAATTTAGGTTTAATCATATTAACAATTGCTATATATATATATATATATATATATATATATATATATATGTTTATAAATAAAATAAAATATAAATAATTACGTGTCACGTTGTGCGATGATCCTAAACTACTTAACCGATTTTAATCAAATATGCGTGTGCAGTTTGGTCCAATAGGATAGTTTTTTTGCCCATGAGTGAGCCACATTTTTTTTTGCGAATTTAGGGATTTTTAATAGGACATGACAAAAAGTCGTCGAAAAGGGCAGAACAACGTCTGCCTGGCAAGCTAGTATATATATAATATTCAGGATCTCAACCAGACTGGAGACATAGCCAATTTATTTAAAGAGCATTTTAAAGTAGTCACCGCGGGGTCCGTCATCACGATTAATCGATGGTGGACGTGTTGCAGGTGGATCGTGTGTAATGTGTGTGGATTTCTGCCAAAGAAGTTTCTGAATTAAGTCTATGACTAAAGGTATATCACCAAGGCATGATGGGCTTAGCATTGAATGTCTGGTACATGCTGGTGCCCACATGCCAAGAGTGTTGGCTATGTTTCTAAGTTTATGTATAACGCATCAGTATCTTCCGACTGATCTCATGAAGTCCATTGTGGTGCCTATCATTAAGAACAGAACAGGAAATATATCGGATTTAAACAATTACAGGCCAATCTCACTAGCCACCATAGTGGCTAAGGTGTTGGACAGTCTGCTTGACAGGAAATTGAAAAAGCATATTCATCTGCATTATGCTCAATTTGGGTTCAGACCTGGACTATCCACAGAGAGTGCAATTTTATGTCTGAAGCAGACTGTAAGGTACTACACGGATAGAAAAACCCCGGCGTATGCCTGTTTTTTAGATCTATCAAAAGCTTTTGAGCTAGTCTCTTATGACATCTTATGGCGAAAGTTACAGGAGGAGACTGATTTGCCCCAGGAGATTGTATCCGTATTTAAATTTTGGTATAGTAATCAAATAAATTATGTTCGATGGGGTAGCAGCTTTTCTGAGGGGTATGGGCTGGAATGGAATGCGGGGTGAGATAAGGAGGGTTGAGTTCGCCTACACTTTTCAACTTATACATAAACCAGTTGATTGTGGAGCTCAGCAGCACTAAGGTCGGTTGTTCTATAGACGGAGTTTGCATAAATAACATAAGCTATGCAGATAACATGGTGCTGCTGAGCCCCACGATAGGTGCACTCATAAGGCTGCTAGGGATCTGTGAATCCTAGAACGATTCAGAGACCCATGGGCTCAAGTACAATATAACGAAGAGCGAGCTCATGGTTTTTAATTCAGGCACTAAAAGGCAGCTCACCATGCCTACTGTTAAGCTCGCTCTGTGATAGTCCTTTGAATAGAGTCGTCAAATTTAAGTACCTAGGCCACTGGGTAACAGAGGACTTAGAGGATGACTTGGGTATAGAAAGGCAACGCAGGGCGTTGGCTGTTCGCTGTAATATGCTGGCCCGCAGATTTGCACAATGTACTGAAGAATTTAAAGTAAAACTTTTTAAAGCGTATTGTCAGTGCTTTTACACGTGCAACTTGTGATTTATACACGCAGCGGACATACAATGCCCTGCGTGTACAATACACTAATGCGATCAGGGTGCTGTTAGGATTGCCGCGTCATTGTAGTGCCTCTGGCATGTTCGCTGGGGCACACACGGATGGCTTTCATGCCATTATACGTAAAAGGTCCGCTTCATTACTGAATCAACTACGTATATCTACCACCAGCATCCTGAATACAATTGCTGATAGGTGGGATTCTGCCATTATGAAGCACTGGTTGAGCCTACATACAAAATTAAATAGATATTTGTAATGTAGGACCGATGTTTAATTTGTTAAGTAAAAAAAAAGTTAAATACTAACATTAGTTTTAAGTATATAATATTATTGTTCTACTAACATCTTTATAGACAAAGTCTAAATAAACTCCACGTTCCTGCTGACTTTAATTCTCCCTCCTCTTAATTATTTTAATCATCAATCTTAATTCAACCCTCCTTGTATATTTTACAATTGTTTTTTATTTTTATTTTTGAAGCGTGATTGCTCCTAACCAATGGCATGTCTTCCTTCTATTTGTTTGAGGATAAAATTTTATATTTTTTTAACATTTTAGTAAATAATACCGCCAGACAACAATGTTCGCAAAATTTCATTGCCATCAATGGAACTCAAGTAATGCTCCGAACGTTGGTCACCACTCATGCCAAACGTGACAGCAACGTAGGCACCGAGCTGATGCTTCAGGATCTCGTATGGATTATTGCCGCGCTAGCACCTAAAGGTAAACATTACAGTTATAAACAAAAACAAAAGAATATTAATTTAAATTAGAACTATAAACGTATGTATGATAATATGCTGTGCCGTGGTGATGTAGCGTGTAATAGGAATTAACAATTCGATGTGTCTTATCTTAACCCCGTGGCTCATAAAGCACGTCAAGGCATCATTTCTGTCCATATCGGACTATAATATAAGATTGAGGAGAGAGGAATAGAGAGTGCACCTCTGTTTATGCGCGAAATCGTTTCATTTTTGTTCATTTTCCAGTTGTACCATGTAGACCAAATACTACCATGAGAATATAGGTATATTAAATCATTGTTTATTTATTTGAACTTAAGTTTAAAATTTGGCTACTCTTTGAAAAGTAACTCTGTATATAAAAATGTAAACTTAGATTACCTCTAATTCTTCCAACTATACCTCAATAGATCTTTCGGAAGAAATTTCAACTTAGAATAAGTAGTGCCTGTATATAGGTAAATATTTGTGTTTATTTTGTCATCCATCACTTTCTGTACCATTAATTTATCCGATTACGATTAAATTTTAGTGAACCGATTAGAGCGCGCTCGCGAAGATTTCTAAGAAAAAAAAAGCATTGCATCGCATGCCGGGCAAAAATAATCACTTATACTTAGATCAGTCCACATTCAAATTGTAATAACACTTTTGAGCTTATAATTTCATTTTGAACACATTTTAAATTATTCAAGATAATTTTGATGGTAAGAGCCGTATTAGCTCAAGAGACAAGTGCTCTCCGTTATGTTATTAAAATACTATTAAAATTTCCATCTTTCATTCTCATTCTTCTTCTCTTAATGTAGTACAATTGTAGAATTCACTTCTATTATATCGCAGAGAAAGTTCAGAAAAAGTAATATAATATATAGTGAAGAAAAATTAATTTAAAAAAAATATCTTTTAAATTCAAAATGCGTGGTAATGAAGTATTTTAACTGATTTTACTGCGCACGCACAAATTTGTAAGGGTCAATCGGTAGGTAAAAACGTTACTGCCCATGAATCACATTTAATTTTTTTCTTGAATTTAAGTAAAAGCCTTATTATTATTTTCAAAAACTGCTGTTAACTGATGGACTGTAACGGTATATCATTATTTATATATTTGAACTTAAGTATAAAATTAGGCTTTTTTTTTTTTTTTTTTTATAGAAGAGGGGGCAAACGAGCATGTGGCTCACCTGATGTTAAGTGACTACCGCCGCCCATGATCAACCGCAACACCAGGGGAATTGCAGGTGCGTTGCCGGCCCTTTAGAAAGGAGTAAGCTCTTTTCTTGAAGGTCCCCAGGTCGTATCGGTCCGGAAAAATCACCGGTGGTAAATTATTCCACAGAGAGGTTGTACGCGGAAGAAAACTCCTTTTGAAACGTACAGTGGTGGACCGCCAAGCATCCAGATGGTGTGGATGGTATCGGGACGTTTGCCGTGTAGTGCGTTCACAAAATTTGGCGGCTGGGATTAATCCGAACAATTCCTCAGAGCACTCCCCGTGATAGATGCGATAAAATACGCAAAGAGATGCAACATCTCTTCGCAGCGCCAGTGAATCGAGCCGATCGGAAAGCACTCGGTCGTCAACGATTCGAGCCGCTCTGCGCTGGATGCGGTCAAGTGGAAGGAGCTGGTACTGGGGAGCCCCAGCCCAGAGATGGGAACAGTATTCCATGAGCGGCCGAACCTGCGCCTTGTAAAGTTGCAGGCGGTGTGCCGGCATGAAATACTCTCCCGCTCTGCTGAGCACGCCAAGCTTTTTAGAGGCCAATTTGGCCTTCCCTTCCAAGTGACCACGAAACTGCACGTCACTCGATATGTCGACGCCGAGGATTCCGATACTGGCTGAGGCAACAAGGGGAGTGCCTTGAAACTGAGGGGATACGACAAAGGGGTTCTTTTTAGCGGTTAACGCGCAAACTTGTGTCTTCTGGGAGTTAAACTGGACTAGATTTAGTCGCCCCCAATCCGAGACTCTGTCCAGCAGAGACTCGACTTCAGACACAAGTTTGTCCCGGCACTCAGAGACGTTTTCCCGAGAAATATTGGCTCGGCCGGTGTAAAGAGCATCACCAGTGCTGTCATCTGCATAGCAATGAATGCTACGGGTTTGCAACATATCATTGATATGCAGAAGAAACAGCGTTGGCGATAGCACGCAGCCCTGTGGAACACCAGCATTAATAAGCTTGCAATCGGAGCTTGCACCGTCTACAACGACCTTGATGCTCCGATCTGCAAGAAAACTGGTGATCCAATCGCACAATTTCTCGGGAAGCCCATAGGAAGGGAGCTTCGAAAGAAGCGCTTTGTGCCAAACCCGATCGAAGGCCTTCGCAATGTCCAAACTAACGGCCAATGCCTCCCCCTTGGACTCTACTGCCTCCGCCCATCTGTGAGTTAGGTAGACCAGAAGATCACCAGCTGACCTACCACGGCGAAAACCGTATTGGCGGTCACTAATCAGCTGGTGATCCTCAAGGTACCTCATGAGCTGGCAGTTTACAATGGTCTCCATTGTTTTGGAGAACAAGGAGGTGATGGCGATAGGCCGGTAGTTGGACGGGTCTGAGCGGTCGCCTTTTTTAGGGATCGGGTGGACGAAAGCCGTCTTCCATGATTTTGGGACTACGCCTAGGGAGTAGGAGTACCGGAAAAGACGCGTTAAAACCGGTGCCATCTCTGGAGCACACGTCCTCAGCACAATTGGGGGGATTCCATCAGGCCCACTCGACTTATGGATGTCCAGGGAGAGGAGTGCTTTGCGAACCGAGCGCTGAGTGAACTGCACTTCCGGCATGGAGCACTCACACCGCGGGATGGTCGGCGGCGTACTCCCCCCGTCATCGAGAGTCGAGTTAGACGCAAAGAAAGAGCCTAGAAGATCGGCTTTCTCCTTTGCGGTGTGGGCCAGTGAGTCGTCCTCCCTGTGCAGAGATGGAAGAGATGGCTGACAGAAATTCCCTTGGACAGCCTTGGCGAGAGACCAGAATGCACGGGTTCCAGAAGGAAGACGAACTAGTCTCTCGCCAATTCTGCCTATGTGCTCTGACTTTGCCTTGGCAATGACTCTTTTGAAGGACCTAGAGGCGGAATTATACTTCTTTTTTAGAGCGCTGGTGTTTACATCCCTGGACGCTGATGCGTCAGCCCAGGCTCGGTAGCACTCCTGCTTATAGCATGATGCTATTTTACAGGAGCGACCAAACCATGGCTGAGATTTGCCTCCAATGGGCACCACAGAGGAAGGAATAAAAAGTTCCATACCCTGAAGTACCACATCAGCGACAGAATCCGCAACAACGTTGGGATCATCCGGCGAGAAGCAAACCCGCCCCCCAAGGGTAGGATGCAAAGAAAGACCGCATCCCATCCCAATCGGCTGACCTATAGTGCCAAACACGGCGGCAGCCTGCAGAATGCAACCGCGATTTCAGCGTGAGTGGCACCACACTCCGGACAAGACAATGGTCCGAGGAGCCTAAAGGGGCGTCAACGGAAATCTGATATCCGTCCGGGTGAGAGGTCAGCAGAAGGTCCAACAGGGAAGGTGCATGATCCTCCACATCTGGAATCCGCGTAGGCGAAGTAACCAGTTGTGTCAGACCATATGCCAAGGCAAAATCATGAACAAATCTCCCCGCATGATCGGTTAAACGTGAACCGAGCCATTCGGCGTGATGGGCGTTAAAGTCGCCGAGGATCACGATCTCTGCGGAGGGGATCTGCTGTAGCAACGAATCTGCAGCCATTTGGACGTGGTCGAAGAGTCGGTCTGTTTCGGCATTACCGCTATGGGACCTATAGAGGCACCCGTAGACGCGCGGATGGTCGTCGCTGTCTACGCGTAGCCAAAGGATGGACAGGTCCGAACCTTCAAGTCTGCCGAGGCGTCGAGAACAGATGTCCTCTCTGACGTAAACGCAAACTCCAGCCCGAGGCACAAAGGAGTGTTCCAGTTTGTACCCCGGGCAGGAGAGATACGAGACATCAGCCGGAGAGGACACCTGCGTCTCGGTCAGAAAGAGCAGAGCCGGCCTCGCCGTCTCGAGATGGTAGTGGACGGCGTTTAGGTTAGAGTGAAGTCCCCTGATATTGCAGAAATTCACGGACAGCGTGGCAGGGGTCGCCTTGGTCTTGCTGCTCCGTTTGCCCCGAGCAGTTTTAGTCTTGAGCGGAATATTGCCCCCCCCCCCAGAATACGCGGGGCAGCCTGAGCACCCACGCTCAGAAGTGGAGAAACATGGTCGTGGATGCTCAGCGAGGGATTCTCCAGGGGTGCTGGTACCCTCCTGGGGTAGTCTATCATTTAATTCCGCTACCATGTTGATGGGGGGGGGGGGATTTGGGCCTCCGGCCACCTGCACTCACCAGACGAAACGCGGAAGCAGAGCTTCCACTTCACGCCGGTATTCTGTGAGGTCGTGGTACCACCCCGGTTTGAGCCGGCCCATACGTGCGACAGCAAAGCTGCCGCGTGGCTCTACCACTGTTAACTACTTCAACTGCTACTCTTTCAAAAGTAACTCTGTATATAAAAATGGTACACTTAGATTACCTATATTTCTTCCAACTGTACCTCAATAGATCTGTCGGAAGAAATTTCAACTTAGAATAAGTAGTGCCTTTATACATGTTGTGTTCTCTCGCTCTTATATAAACCATTGTAAAATAGCAGCTTAATGCAGCTGTGTTGACGTTTGATGAGTTTAGAAGGAGACACTTTTTACTAGAAACGAGACATTCCATCATATTCAGGGTTGCATTTGATAGCAAGGGTATCGATAGGCCGCATTTACCTACCATCAGATGGACTGTATATTTATTTGTCTCTTATTCTATAAAAAAATCTAACAAATAATATACATATTTTTTCAAAAAGTGGTTATGATTGAATTTTATTCCAGATCCCAAGTTCGCTATAAAAGTCAAAATGGTTGGATGTGTGAGGACAATGCATCTTATATTCAAAGGGCATTACACTGACAGCAAACTGATTTTTCCACTCCTCGTAATTTTAAAACAACTTGCAAAAAACGGTATGTAATATTTCATTACTCGTATAATATAGTTAACATAAAATTAATTTCGATTAGTTTTGTAAACTTTCTTGAATACTATGACTTGTTATTTCCATTTCTTCCATCTATTATCTTTTTAAACAGAAATTTCATGCATTATTTATTTATTTATTAACATTTATTTAACCTTGCAAAACAGTACTGGATCAAATGGGGGAAATAAGTAAATGCTAAAAGCATTTTCTGCCAACCTTAGGGCAGTGATAATCTAATAAACTACAAAAGCGGTTAATGAAATCAGAAAATATACCTAATTTATATCTATACGTGGTAGAGTCACGCTGCAGCTATATTATGGTTGTAGCAAGAATGGGTGGGCTCGACCGGGGAAGGACTACACTTTCATAGAATACCAGTGTAAAATAGCAGCTTAATGCATGTGTTTCGTATGTTGAGTATAGAAAACTGGAGACCCTTTTTACTGGAGTCGAGGCATTCCATCTTAGCCTTCAAGGGTGACAACGCATCTGCATTTTGATTCTAAATCGAGATTAAATGTAGATGTCTATGGGCCACAGTATCCACTAACCATCAGGTTGACTGTGTGCTTGTTTGGCACCCTTATCTTATATAAATATATAAGTGTTCATGTACACACATATAAAAAATTACGACATATCGATAATATAATATTTTAAATGTATAATTAGTATTTATTTTTTACATGAATGCATATATACTAATATAAATATAGACATACACACACATTTATATAATATAAGATACATATAACTGATAATACGAAAATAGCAATTTTGAGCTATTTTAAGATAATGAGAAAGAATTTATTCCGACTTGTTGCCAAACTCTAGCAACTCTTGTGTTAAGAATTTAATCTGCAACATATATTTCTTTGTTTCTAAAAGAAAAAAAACTAATTTTTAAAAGGTACTGAATATTTAATAGAAGTAAACATCCACACCATCCACACCATCATACCATCGAGTAAATATCCACACCATCAAGTAAATATCCACACCATCTGCATGCTTAGCAGTCCACCACTGTACGTTTCAAGAGGAGTTTCCTTCCGCGTACAACCTATCTGTGGAATAGTTTACCACCAGCGATTTTTCCGGACGGATACGACCTGGGGACCTTCAAGAAAAGAGCTTACTCCTTTCTAAAGGGTCGGCAACGCACCTGCAATTCCCCTGGTGTTGCGGTTGATCATGGGCGGCGGTAGTCACTTAACATCAGGTGAGCCGCATGCTCGTTTGCCCCCCTCTTCTATAAAAAAAAGTAAAATAACCACGGAGCAAATACAAAGTTTGTATTTGCTCTGTGCAAATAACGCAAACTCTCAGACAATTGAATGTTTATTATTACAGTGGTAACAACGTCTATCCTGATCCGGGACGGTATTACTGCTACGTATGAGCGAGTGCTGGTGAGCCTCGGCTACATCCCCACCGCGAGGCTTCGACTTTGTCTCGACGCCATCGACTACTTCAGCAAAAACAGTAAGAATCGCATTTTACCAACAAGAATAAGAAACATACCATAAAATTTAATTTAATGAATATTAAGTATTCATTTTATATTACATAATTAAGATATACTGAGATGATCAATTATCATGAGGTAGTATGTAATAAATCCATTTATTAAAGCCTATATAAGTTCACTTCCGAAAATAGACTTACAGGCGAATATAGGTTTAATAGATTAATATAGGCCACTTAGAGCAGATTGTTCGAACCCTGGCGGCCGAACTATTTCCGATTCACAGCCACACAATTCAAAATTTCACCATTCACCATCACACGATTTCACCATCCGAAAACCGAAAAAACTCGCGATACCATCCATACTATCTGGATGACTAGCGGTTTACCTCAGTTCGATTTTAAAGAAGTTTTCTTCCTCGCAAAACTTCTTTGAAGAATCGACTACCCCCATAGATTTTTCGGGGCCGATGCGACTTAGGGACTTTCAAGGAAAAGAGCTTCAAAGAGCCTAAATCTTTTTAAAAGGGCCGGCAACGCATCTGCAATTCTCCTGGTGTTGCAGTTGTTTATGGGCGAAGTAAACACTTACCATCAAGTGAGCCGTATGCCCGTTTGGCCTATCTTCTATAAAAAAATGTTTTTAGAAAAAAGATTTTTCCATAGTGGCCACGGTTGGAAACCGGGTTGGTAGTTTGATTTGCTATCGGGAAGATGCTGCTGTCCGTCTCCTGCTACAGTTTCTCTGTTTAGCCTCTTAGGCCGCTCATTAAACTATACGGAGTATTGAATATTCTTACGCCGTCACTACATATTTCATCATCATCACAGTCCTTCACAAGTCCACTGCTGAACATAGGCCTCCCCCAAGTAATGCCACAAAGCACGGTCCTGAGCCACCTGCATCCATCGACTTCCTGCATATCTACAGGTGACTCATGGGGGGGTCCCCCACACCGGGAGTGCGAAACCTTTCTTCCCCACGGTTATCGGTTCTTCGAGCTATATGGCCGGCCCGTTGCCACTTCAGCTTACTAATCCGTTGGGCTATGTCGGTTACTCTGGTTTTACTGCGGATATCCTCATTTCTGAGTCTATCACGCAGAGAAACTCCGAGCATAGCCCTCTCCATAGCTCGCTGAGCGACCTTGAGCGTCCTCATACGGCCAGCAGTGAAGGACCACGTCTCTGATCCGTAAGTCATCACTGGCAACACGCACTGGTTGTACACTTTAGTTTTCAGAGATTGAGGTATACCTGACATATTTACAGGAAGTATTTAAGTAGAAAAAGCACATCTGCATCTATTTCACCTATTCCCGAACTATTTAAAAAATAAAAAAAATATGTGTTCAAGTATTTTGCTTTTTGGATTAAATATTAAAGATAATAAATAGCATTCATCTATTTTTATTTGCCACTAAAATGTATATATCACTCGATTATAAAAATGTACGTTTCTTTTTTCTTATTACGGCAGACGGCAATATGTGAAAGGTGTTGAATAAAAAAAGTATGTTAGTTATTGTGTGTGTTGTGTAGTAGTTATTGTGTACTACTACATAACACACACAATAACTAATATACCTACTACTATTCTGTACTGTACTGTACTGTACTATTTACATAGGTAAAACTGTTTTATCTATTTGTACTGCCAAGGAGCAGTCTTTGCGTTGCTGTGTTCTGATCTTTAGGAAGGCCCAGAAGGGCTAGAATCCAGAGCCGTAAAGCCAGTTAATAAAAACATGATCTTGAGAATATAAAGATATAACATTGTACCTTAGTCTTCTGGGATAGCTGGGGGGGGGGGGGGGGGTGGCCGGTTGGTTTCTCGTCTCGTGATCGCGTTCCCACCCTCGCGTGGGACGTTATAGGCTTACTTACTTTACTTTCTCTATAACAACACATCTTTAGCCTACTTTTCTTGAAGTTGGCTGCAGTTGTCCACGCACTACAGTAGCCACTTACCGTCAGGTGGACTGTAAGTTCGTTTGCCACTTCAGCTTTATAAAATAACAACCTTATTGAAAATTTTTTTTTAAAAAACATGACGTAAAATTAAAAAAAAATATTCTTGATCCTTAGATTCTGAAACTAGCTGGTTTGTATTACAAATTGCATTATTCGATATTTTTTATTGTTTTAAGTTACATTCTATATACGTCCCACAGCTGGGCACAGGCCTCCTCTCATTTTCACTAAAAGCATTTTCTGCCAACTTTAGGGCGGTGATAATCTGATAAACTACGAAAGCGGTTAATGAAATCGTGAAATATACCTAATATATACCTATACGTGGTAGAGCCACGCTGCAACTATATTATGGTTATAGCACGAATGGGTCGGCTCGACCGGGGAAGGACCACGCTCTCACATAAAGCGTAAAATTGCAATAGCAGCTACCTACAGCTGTGTTTTGTGTGGTGAATGTAGAGATTCGGAGACCCTTTTTCACTGGAAACGAGGCATTCTGTCTTAGTCCTCACGGGTGACAACGCATTTGCCTTTTGATTCTTAATAGAGAATAAATGTAATTGTCTATGGGCCACATAATGCACTTACCATCAGTTAGACTGTGTGCTCGTTTATCAACCTTATTCTATAAAAAAAATACTCTCCTCGCTAAGCAGGTTGGTTAATGAACACAGATTTGATACCCTTGAGCGTGTATTAATGCTCCCCATCACTATTCGTAAGATTTTGATTTGACATTATCGGTGATTTACGCCATCAGTCGATCACCAGAGACTCATCCGTCAGACACCAGAATTGCAGATGCAGCTCGTCTTGCTTTACATACTGTAACACCACCAACCACTCACAACTCTAATATGTTCATGTAGATATAACCACTCAAAATTTGTCAAATGCGCAAGATGTATTAACACTAGTTCTATGTTATATAACAAGGAAAAGAAAGAAGCCTCTCTTAATAGATGTAAGCTATCAAATTAGTTTGTCCAAGGGTTTTTAAATCTCTATTTAAACATAAAACCTTTATAAAAGATATTTAAGCCTAGTAAGTTCGTAGTTTACGTAAAATCATTTAAAAAAGTTTTACATTAACAATTCATTGCCTTCTTATAATCGTTGTAAATCATAGATGGCAAGTCCATCTGACTTAACAAAATCAAGTGAACTGTTAAATTAACAATACAATAAGCGTTCGTTTTAAATTGCATAGTATGCCAGCAACTCGAAATCGATGCTCCCCAGCACCAATTAAATTATCGGTTGGTATTATACGTGCTGATGTATAACGTAGTAAACGGCGAAGAAAAACATCTCGCGGAAACCTTTATATCTAAACAATAAAAAAAGTCAAGGATAGTAAAGTCCACCAGCACTCGTAAGAGTGGTGCGGTGGACTCTTCCCCGCTAAAATCCTTTAAGAAGTTAGAGGAGACCTATGTACAACGGTGACAATTATATAGACTGCTGCATTACTTTTTTTTCTGCACAAGAAAAGTCTTTACTCATTTTTTTTTCATCTTTACACAGAAGTTTGCTGCATGCACATTGTCAAGACAGGCCTATGTGCAGTCCTCCTCAGGGTATTCGACCGTTGGGACCGCTATGAGGGACGTATGCGGCTCAAGATATGCGCACACATTTTGCAAACACTCCAACACCTTTGCAATATTAGTACGTACTAAATTAAATAAATAATTTGATTTAAGGGGATATAGTAAGTCAGCTCAAATTCTAATTTAGCCCCCACTTCCCCGCGCGTCGTATGCTATGTACCAACATGTTTGTAATCACTAATACTGTACGTAGATAGGTCGTTAGATACTTATTTCATTAGGTTTATCATATTTATGCCTGTTTCTTAACGCCAACCCAGTCGCTTCTTATTTTTATCATGGTTATTTCCCATTTTAATTTTATGTCGTCCTGTTACGTAATGTGTATTCTGATCGTAAGCGACATAACTTCCCCCTTCAAAGTCCGAAGCGAAACTGACCGGGTGGTACCAGGAATCAAGCTTCAAGACGCCGATAGTTTAGGTAATTTCTTTTTACAGTGAAAATAATGGTATTTAAAAAAAAGTAAATAACATAAGAACTGCTTTATAGTTAGTTCACTTAGTATGCAAAGTTTCATGATCTTATTTAAAGTATTTTATGAATAACAGCGGTTTATTGTTCGTTTTGTAGGTAACTTTGGATTTTTTTTTCTATCGAGAAAATTTTACGGAATCGTGTTTTCGTCTAACATAGTCCTTAACATTAATCCTCAACTTTACCATATATTTATTTCAAAATTAATGCTGTAATATTTTCGGCATAACGGAAGATCTTGCTAAGCCATTTGAGGTTATATTTCCCCTTAATGAGAAGTAAAACTTAGATTATATTATTTATATTGAAACAGATTACAAAAACCATTTTCATTTCTTTAAAACTTTGTATCTATTTCACAAACAAAGTTTGCCTATAGTATAAATAAAAAGGGCAAATTGAAGAAGCAAATTTTTCTGTGTGTCGAAAATCATTAGATTTTTAAAAACTTCTGTAAATTATCATCCTTTGATGTAAAGATTTTCTAACACCGCCATCATACATATATAAATATCAATTTTTACACTAAAAAAGTTATACTAATTTTTCTGTCTTTCAGGAACTGGTCGTCGAGCGCTGTGTACGAAAAAGCACGTACAAATACTCCACCGATTCTGTTCACAATGTCCTGACGAAGCGGAATTCGATGGTCTTCTAGCACGAGTATGTTCTGTAATCACACTTTGTCTGAAACGTCAAGCTTTACCCGTTCCTGCTTCAAGCCCCGCCACTTTCAACTTAAACCCTATAATAAAAGGTGAGATCATAATAATACTCAATGATCCAAAAACTTCGTAATTGTTATTATCTGCTATGAAAAAACAACTATTAAATATAAGGTTTCTCCCTAACTAAAGGATTTGGAGGAATCGCTACGTGTCTTTAATCTCAGACACCTCCTAAAACGTTGTTTTTGATCTGGATAGTAAACAGGTGACCAGTGGGGAACATAAAGTCGCGCATCCTTTGAAATCAATATTTGTGCTCACCAAGTAGTATGTAATAACTATGTTTAAGAGAAAAAACCCGTAGAAAATACAATTGTATTTAAAGCCGGCCTAAAAAATGTACGAAAAGCATACCAACTATTTTCGGTGGTGATTAAGCATTAGTAGCAGTGCTCCAAACCTTGGAGTCGATGGACAAATGTGTTCATTGATTTTCAATTTTTAAAACTTGTTAAAGATCTTATGAAAAAAAAATGAACCACCGAATGCAATAGTATAAAGACCTTTTCAAACAAATCGGCTAAACAGAATTTAGTCATCAATATTTTTGTAAAATACTTTCAAAAGTTTTGTTGTTTTGATACATATACGCACTCGGTGCTAAATTCTTATCACAATTTTATTTCACTTGATGCAAGTTTAATAATTAATAGTAGATAGCTTCTGTTTCCATTTGATCATTGCTTATATCTAGGATTTTAATTTAAAAACAGTTTTATTTAATCAAATGTCTTACTAAAAATAATAAGTAAATGACAAATTGTATAAGTTCATGTATGACTTAGCTTGTCACGTGGGACCAATGTTGAGACACAGTCGTCATGATATACTTATTATCGTTCACTAGGTCAGAACACGTGTATTAAGTTTGATAATATAATCGTAACAAAAAATAGAATGATGAACATACAAGCGCCACAAATTTTCTTAATTATGACGTTATTTATCGATATGAGCTTGCTATTTTCATATCTAATTTTTTTATTTACGACTTATTTTATTTACAGGAACAAACACTTCATGGCCATGCCACGAGGATGAAGAAGATGCAGCAAACTCTGATGCAAAGACAATTAATTCCGATTTTGATGACGATCAGACTAATTCGGATATAGATGGAATGGATGATTTTCCAGACATCGATGTCGATGAAAAAGAAAAAAATAATGAGACAGAAAAAAGGCACATTAAAAGCGGTGAAAGTATACAAAACGCGCTTTGGATTAATCCTAATGAGAGAGATATAGAAGACTTAAAAAGGTTTCTATTATATTATAGTTTAGCGTATACCTACGTGTCGAATATGTTTTTACTAATACGATTCAATTTAATTTCAGATACGCCATTTATTTTAAGGAATTCGGATCTTACAATAAACAAATGAAACTAGTTAAGAGTCGCTCTAGCTCAAAAGGATTTATACTTGAAGACTACTTGAATCAATCTAGTAATAGTAAAAATATACCTACATCTCTAAGTAACTCTCTTTGTGCACTTTTGACTAATACAGAATATGAACTTATTTCGGAATCAACATATGCAACGTCCGTATTTCATAGCTGCAATAGAATTTATGAAAGTGCATGTAAGTCAGATCGGTTATAAAGATCGGTTATAAACAAATGCCATTTAAAAGATAGATAGTTTTCTAAATATTATTTCTACTTTTTAGCTATAACGTCTTGCTCGTATTTGAAAATTCATAAAGACATACCAAAGTACAGCTCATTCCAATCAGTATACTGTACGATCGCATCAAAAGTACGAAGCGTGATACCATTTGTCAAAGTGGCCTATCCTGATTTAATGGGCGGAAAAAGCGTAAATCATCCAGAACCATTGAATAAAATGGAAAGAACAGCTTGTCGGTAACTATTTAAAATTAATAAAATATTTGCTCATCAATGTGACAATTGTAAATTATGAAAATGTAACAATATAATTATATTTTACCAGGAGCAAATTACTATCGTGTGTGGATAAAGCAATTAATCCAGAAGCATATTTAAACGAAGTTGTGTATGATTTAGATCAATTATGTAACAGTATGGCTTCAGATAATTCGTCACAAAAAAGGTTTCATTGTGCTTTTCATAAGTTTTATATTTTAAAAACTCGTTTTATTAATGTATGTACATAATTAATATTCTTTATTTCAGCACGGATAATCTTCTGTTGACAAACACAGATGAGCAAGACATTTCAAAAATTAACACATTTCCATCGCGTTTGAACTTTGAGTCGAGGTTTGAATCCGGAAATCTCAGAAAAGCAATTCAGGTAAAATTAAAATTAAACATTTTCAATTGATTTAAAATTTATATCTAATACAATATTTTAGGTAGGTCCAAGAGAATACGAGCTGATTCTAATGCCAGATGTGAATTCGTCTAAAAGACATCAATGGTTTTATTTCGAAGTACGCGACATGCAGCAGGGACGTCCCTATGTATTTAATATTGTAAATTGTGAGAAATCAGACAGTCAATTCAATTTCGGTATGAAGCCAGTTTTATATTCTGTGAAAGAAGCTATTCTGGGAAAACCAGGTATTCTTAAGTATCCCTTTTGTTAGTAGCTAGTGTACTATGTCCTTCTTTCATTTCTATGTTAAACGACATAATAACAGTTCGCCTTTCTTTACTTTCAAATACAAAATTTTCACATTTAAGCAAAAACATTGTTTTAGGGCTATACAATGATTAAGGTACGTGAGGGTAACTGGATGCTAATTGGATATTGTGGCCCATTAACATCCTCACAATTATCCTCAATTAAGAATCAAAATGTAAATGTGTCGTCACCCCTGAGGACTAAGATGGAATGCCTCGATTTCAGTAGAAAGTGCCTCTGATTCTCTACACTCACCATACGAAACACAGCAGCATTACGCTGCTATTTTACGCTAGTATTTTGTGAAAACCTGATCCTGCTCCGGTCAAGCCGACCCATTCGTGTTACAACTATTATATATAGCTGGAGCGTGGATCGATGACGTAAAAACTAAAGTAAAATTGAGTAACTAAAAAAACTAAAATGGACTAAAATATTTACTATAGCATCAACTATCAAAATGGCATCGACAAAGCATCGACCTTTTGACCCTTTATTATTTGATTGACCGATGAATTGATCGTTACACAAAGCCATCTATGCAAACAAGGCTTTTAAGTTAAAAGAAAGTAACCATATTACCCTCACGTACTATACTTTCCTTAAAATAAGGTTCAACACTTTTTAACAAACAAAACACGTTGTATCAATTATAAAAAGAAATGAAAAGAAACTATTTAAATTCGGGGAAAACTTTCTTCGTGTTATATATGCAATTCTAAAAAAAATATTAGATGAAGAAATAATAAACACTACACTAATCACAAACGTTAAGGTTATAGCAAAAATATAGAATACGTCAAATTTAATTTTCTAATGAAAAACTTACTAACTTAAATTCGTAACAATCATAAACGAAATATATACAACAAAAGTAAATAGATCGGAAAAATCGTGTTTTTAAATTTTTATAATTTTATCTTTATATATAATATAGAAATAATTGTGGAAAATGTTGGATTGTGAAAATGTGTGATATGTGTGAAATAATTGTAAAAATGGAAGAGTTATATTGTTTAATTAGGGAATGATACATTTATTGAAGTTGAATGATATGTAACTTTCAAATAAAATTTTCGGTACGATACGCGCGCCACTTACTTTAAGTTAATTGTACTATGCCTATAACCATTGCGCAAATGCAAGCAATAAGTTGACAAAGTTTTACCGCAATCTGACGAATGGTATGGCAGCGCATAAAATACTAACAAGTGAATATTAATGTTCATACATTAGATATTGAACCGTTTGTTCGATAGTTTCTCACTATCTTGTGCTGATGATATTATGATGCCGTTGCTGTAGATTTGTGTAAATTTTCGGCCAGTAAAATTGAAACCAGGAATAATCATTAATCTGACATTCCCAAACCAGTCCCCTCTCAGTCAGTGTTAATATTAACCTTACTCTGCTCAAAATTCTCTGAAGTGACTACATGGGTTAAATATCTGAGGGTGCAGTCAGTGTATACTGCGGTATATACTCGATATATACACAACACTTCCTGGCTAATGTCTCTCATTTCAACTTAATTGTTTCTATTCATCAAAAGGGGCTACATATTCTCAATTACTAACTTTAATCTTATCATTTTTTTTTTATCACAAACTTCTCGTCACCTTTCACAGGGTTTTAATATAACCGGAATGAGATATATAACTTTTATGTTAAAATTTACAGACTAAAATATTTGAAACAACTTGTGTAGCTCTCATTAATACTCCATTGCGTTCGCTACTGCATGCAGCAAAATGGGATTTTCTTTGTGACTTTTTGTCTAAACATATTTACTGTACTTTGTAAAAACTAGCTAAAAGTTTCATGGTCTTTGGGTTATTGATATTTTTCGTTCGAAAAGCTGTAAGGTACTTACTAACTATAATTTATGTATCAAAGCAGCCTGAAACATTAATTAACTTACTGTCAATGTTAAATAAAAAGGCCATAATAATATATGCTATAAAGTCAATACGTGGATAAAAAATTGGATAAAAACATTGCACGTAATGGATTATAACTAATCTACCCGCACGAATTTCTACTAATTTCATTATAATTTAATAAAATTATTAGGAACTACTAATTTCATTAAATTATATATATTATGTATTAAATTCATAAAATTTATACTAATAAATTTTAATGACATACATTTTGTCGCTAATAACACTTCTAAAACTCAAATTTCAGATTTATGTATGGTAATGCACTCATAAGCATAACCATCAAATTAAATATGACCAGTGATAATCTAATAATATATAAAAATTAATGTTTGTTTATACGTATTTTATGCGCTGCCATACCGTTCATCAGATTCCATCTAATCTTTGTTAACTTATTGCTTGCACTAAGTTTATAGCCCCAGTACAATTAACTCACTAATTAAAAAATATAACTCTTCCAAATTGAAAAATAATTTCACAATTATTTCTTCTGCATCAGCAACGCGTCAAGTACCAGTTACATTAAAAAATTGATATTTAGTAGAAAATATTTCTTCTCAATTAATAAAATTATTTATACGGATTTTATTGCGTTTAATTAACTTATTTTTAATTGCCTACGTTTCGGGTGCTTTACAGCAACGATGGTCACGAGGGTGACTGAGACGTTTGATGTCCCAATGGCATAGTTAGCCCTGCTACCTTCAGTTTTTGAATACTAATTTTTGGTCCAATCTACGCAGAACGAGCTTACAGTATCTTGAAGTCTTACAGTGCAGTAGTATGCTTGGGTTTGGGTTTAATTTTGTTAAGTACAGGGTCCCAAGCAGATGGCAGCACCCATCCATCTTCTCTATTGAAATGTAGATTTTTTTAATTTTGATAGCCTCTCGTATGCTCCTTGGTAGGAATCGGTGTTATTTTGCAAGGATTTCTCGTCTACCAAATCTGAAGTAATGGTGGAGACGATCTTGAACATTTTCACAGACTTCCCGTAGCGTCGGCGATTCACGTCAGCTACATGTTTTTTACGCGGGTTTTTATCGTTAATTTTGTTTGTGCTATGTAAGAGAGACCACATTCACAATCTAGTTTGGACACTCCTGCATCTTGTAGAGGGATATTACACTTGATGGATGTTAAAAATTGACTAATCTTCTTCGATGGCTTGTAGTATGTTTTAATGGAAGCTCGCTTCAAGATGTAGCCAACCTTGTCTGTGACTCCTCTGACATATATATGGTAGTACAGCAGGCACACGCTCAACTGTGGCCGGTTTCACTCGATCACTGTGATTTAGGCGCGGGACTCCAAGCTTGTTGTCTTGCAATACTTGCTTGACGTGCTGAAACTCGGCGGACATATATTTTCTGTCACCGATCCCTTGTATTCTCTGAAACAAAGATTTTCCTACGGTAGCTAACTGTGATGGATGATGGTGAGGTACACCATTTAAATATCGGATGGTATGAGATTGTATGGGTCTGGTTTCCTATAAACAGTGTGATCAATAGTGTTATCAGGGTTTTGGATGACTAAGACCTCTAGGAAAGCGAAAGAATTATTTGCCACTAACTCCATTGTGAATAGTATTTTAGAGTTTATGGAGTTAATGTGGTCTAAAAATGTAGCTACTTTTTCAGATGGCAAAATTGTAATAATGATAATCCTCGTCGTCGACATATCGAATAGTGTGCCGTTTCATGGTCATTCGGAGGAGAAGGCCAAATTCGCCTCTAGAAAGCTTGGCAAAGTGTTCAGCAGAGCTAGACAGTATTTCATGCCGGCACATCACTTGCAATTTTACAAAGCGCAAGTTCGGCCTCACAAGGAATACTGTTCTCATCTCTGGGCCGGGCACCCCAGTGCCCGCTCCTTCCACTTAACCGCATCCAGCGCAGAGAGGTTCGAATCGTCGACGACCGAGTTCTTTCTGATCAGCTCGATTCACTGGCGCTGCGTTGGTATGTTGCATCCCTTTGTGTTTTCTATAGCATCTACAACGGGGAGTGTTCTGGGGAATTGTTCGGATTAATTCTAGCCGCCTAATTTCAAGAACGCATTTCGCGTCAAAATTCACGATACCATCCTTACCATCTGGATGCTTGGTAGTCCACCACTGTACGTTTTACTAGGAGTTTTCTTCCTCGTACAACTTCTCTGTAGAACTGTTTACCACCGGCGATTTTTCCGGACCGGTACGACTCAGAGACCTTCAAGAAAAGAACTTACTCCTTTCCTTTGGTGTTGCGGTTGTTCATGAGCGGCGGTAGTCACTTACCATCAGGTAAACCGCATGCTCGTTTGCCTCCTCTTCTATAAAAAGTGTCGTCAATGTACTGCTTGTAGAATGTTGGATTTACAGGAGCAGTAAGAAAGGCTTTCTCCTCAAAATCCTACATGAATATGTCGGTGACTATGGGAGGTACAGGTAAGCCCATCGCCACGCTTTCTACTTGCTTGTAGAATTGCTCTTTGAAGCAGTTTTCGAGTAATAATGCATATTCTTCAGGCATGTTGTTTTCTTCTAGCTTCCTGGTTATAATTGAGATGCAGTCTTCAATAGATAGGTATGTAAATAGTGACTGAACATTAAAAATAACCATAGTTTCCATTCTCAGCGAGATGTAGATTTTTTTATCTCACTAATTAAATTATATGAATCCTTTGTATATGCTCTGGTATGTCCTCTCAGCGATGACAGTATTTATGCCAAGTTTTTTCTTGATTCAAGATTCACTTGGGACGTAGGTGGAGCGTTTGGTTTGCGTATCTTCGGTAACCCATACAACCGCTGCGGTTTGGCACATGCCATGGTATTATCGAATTGATTTAGTTAAACGTGATCAAATTCGTTATTGCTTCTCAAATCATTTTTTTATGATTTTTTTTTTTTTAATGGTCTTAGGGGATGTTGCCGCCCATAGAATACTATAATACACAATAGAATGGCTGTCAACCTTATTTTGCACTTGAATCAGCTTCGCCGGGAGCACACATACAAGCAATTACGTCGTATTATCACTACTACAAACCCGATTCGCTGTTTTGACAGACTGAGTAAATTTACACATTTTAGACTTTTGATTAATGTTCAAAATCATCATTAAAAATCGCTTAAATTTTAATACATAAATTTGTATATGTGTTGCGAAATATTGCAACGATTGTTACGTCAAAACACATCTCGTGTTGACATTTAACGTGTGAATTGACATGTAAGTGACACTACACGGGCTCCGCCCACTCCCCCGTTCTATTATGTATGTTCTATAGTATTCTATGTTGCCGCCCATCTGCTATTTCAATATCCTTATTTCGTCTTTTACGACACCCACGGGATGATATGGTGCAGTGTATTCTTGCGCCGCTACTCATCTCTAATTCATCTTATTAAAAGTCCCTAAATTATTTATTAAGTCTCATCAATACATCGATTCTCAATTTCGTTTTGTTGTACCTAGGTATGAATTGTTGGAATATGGAAAATTAACACATTTCTTGTCTTGCTTTAAATATAATACGTAATGAACATCTAATAAAGGCATAAAATATGAAATTGTTTTAGAGTTAAACTACTTAACGGCGATAACTTACAATTTTTTTAAAGCTAAACTTAACATTTTAAATCTACTGCTGCTTTAAAGACATTTCTAAGAATCTCCAAATTTTTTAAACTATTATAAACAAGTGATTTACTTTCATTCCACTCGATATTAAGTGGAGATGTAAAATATTAATAAATTAAAAGCCTCTTCATTTTTTTCTTGAAGACAAATGAAGTATTTCTACTCCCGTCTAATGCCGTCTAAATAGTTACATCAATTTCAAATCATCGTTCTGACGCATCTCAAATTACAGCCTGAAAATATTCTGACAGATCTGCCAGAAGGTGCAGATTCGTCAGATCCCAGATTACAGCCTGTAAAAGTCCGCTGAACCTGCCCTCCCCCACCCTCCCTACAGATCCTCAATGAGCAACCGAAGTTTTTTTTTAATTTTAAGTTGTTATCAGAAAGAGCCGTGGTAGCTCAGATGGTTAACGCTCGCTGTAAATATAACAGAACGCGAGTAACCCGGGTTCGATCCCCGCCGGCACCAATGAAATTGTTGATTGGAATTTTGGGTGCTGATTTACCACGTGCTCGGCGGTGAAGGAAAACATCGTGAGGAAGCCTGCATGTCTGAGGAATAAGGAAATAAATATTTCGAAGACATGTGTAGTTCGCCAACACGCATTGGGGCAGCGCGGCGGACACTTCCTTGCCCTAAAACCCTGTGAGAGGAGGCCTGTGTCCAGCAGTGGGACGTACATAGGCTGTAACTTTACTTAACTTTTATCATAAAGATGCTGCTGCCCACACCCTGTTTCAGTTTGCCTCTGTTGCCTCTTACGGCACTCTCGTAATGATATTGGATATGATCAAAATCAGATATATCTAACACTATATTGTATGATAATACCCCTTCTTTACCCTGTTGTTAAAATTTACGTTATTTATTTTTCCTATACACAGGGTGGGTGAGAGCTGGCACGGAAATTTGCTACTACCGCAACAGCTACCATTACGCGAACCAGAAGAACCACAACAAGTGCTATCTCACAGTCACCTTCAACATCGAGTTCCCTCATGCGAACGACGTGTGCTACGTCGCTTACCACTACCCCTTCACATATTCTATGCTTATGGTAATAATAAATCGTGACTGATAATTTTTTAAACTCATCAAACACATTTGACGTGACGCGCTAGCAGTGTTGCCAGCCTAAGCTAAAATGTTGGCAACCCTACGTCGATATTTAAAAGCAGCACTGTTAAAAACATGCATGCATTTTTAAGAGATTTTTAAAAATATTATGTTAGTGATTGAAATTAACATATCATCGGTTCATTATTCAAATTAATTGAAATCGATAGAAAGTGTAAACGCCCCAGTGTTGGGCACAAGCCGCTTATTTTATTGAGGGCTTAGGAGCAAAGGAGTTCACTATGTTGACATAATGCACGTAGAGAAAATTCACATATCCTCGAACTTACTTAATTATTTAGTGAGGCAGGTTTCCTCATGACGTTTTCCTTTACCGCCGAGCATATGGTAACTCAATACTATAAATTGCAGGTAACAATTTCGGTAATGGAGAAAACAAATCTGGCGACCAACAAAATGTATCTATAGTGAGCGTAGACCATAAACTGAAAAATTGGCATTTAAATATATTTAATATATGTATTTTTTTAAAGGCACTTCTCTGTTTGAAACTTATTGATATTTATTTAGCAGTATAGCTGTGTCGTTAGAGAATAAGGCACTCTAATAAAACGACCATACGGATCTAAGATTTTACTGTTTGCGACAGATGGCGGTGTAATCATTTTTTTGAGCCCTGTGAAAATATCCAGACCGGCGACGGGTAGTAGATAATGACCGCCCACGATAATGAACGAATGATCCGTTGGCAATCGATAGATGGCGCTATAGGAATCTCTTATTCATTACATAAGTAAGAACTCTAAATCACTGACGTGACAGCGTTAGGTTACGAGTATTTAGTACATAGATCTCTTAGCCATCTGCAAAGCGTGACGATCAATCATCCCTAAGGTGTAACAGAATCCACTTCCTCATAACATACCGTTGGTGTCGTAAGAGATGACAGAAGGAAATGAAATGGGAGATGGAGCAGCAGCATTTTCCTAATAACAACTCAAGGTAATTAAAAACTGCTGTTGACAACCCCCTGCCGAGCGTGGTAACTATGGCAAATATTCCTATTGAGGCAATCTTTGGGAAGGCCTATGTTCAGCACTGGACTTTTCATAGGCTGTAATAATACTACTACTGTAATGTAGAACCTCTTGTCCGAATTTCGAAGGGGCTGATAAGTGGTTTTGTACGTGGTAGAGCCACGCTGCATCTATATTATGGTTGTAACACGAATGGGTCGGCTCGACCGGGGAAGGACCACGCTCTCACAGAATACCAACGTAAAATAGCAGCTTAATACTGATTTCTTATATTTACGCGAACACTATACATTGATTAAAACTACTTTTACGGATTTTATCGCGTTTTATTTATATTAATTTTAATACCCGACGTTTCGGGTGCTCTCCAGCACCCACGGTCACGGGGGACTGTCAGTAGAATATGATCGCAAACTGCAGACTTCAGAGATTCTAGATGGCCCCAACCATTACATCAGATTTGATAGACCACAAATCCTCGCGAAAGAACATCGATTCCTACCAAGGATGATACGTGAGGCTATTGAAATTAAAAAACATCCTAATTTCAATAGAGAAGGAGGCTGGGTACGCTACCACCTGCTTGGGATCCTATAATTAATAAAATTAAAACTAAACCCAAGCATACCACTGCAAGACTTCAAACTAGCTAAACAACTATGTTTAGCTAGTTCAAAATACAGTTAGTTCATTCTGCGTAGATCGGACCAAAGACAATAATTAAAAAGCTGAAGGTACTCCGGGTTAACTTTGACATCGGGACGTCAGTCACATCAGTCCCCCGTGACCATGGGTGCTGGAAAGCACCCGAAACGTCGGGTATTAAAATTAATATAAATAAAACGCGATAAAATCCGTAAAAGTAGTTTTAATCAGCTTAATACTGCTGTGTTTCGTATGGCGAGTGTAGAGAACCGGAGACCCGTTTTACTGGAAAAAAGGCATTCCATCTTAGTCCTCACGGCTCGCGGGTGACAACGCATCTGCGTTTTGATTCTTAATCGAGGATAAATGTAGATGTCTATGGGCCACAGCATCCACTTACTATCAGGTGGACTGTGTGCTCGTTTGTCACCCTTATTATATTAAAAGTGTTGTAAAATTAACGAGATGTATTTTTTTCAGACCCGCGTTTTCCAGTTGAGTTCGCACCTGCCTCCGGGAACATACCTACGAGCTGAAAACCTTTGTTACTCTTTGAATAACAACGAAGTGCCTTTACTGACTATAACCGCTGAAGACAATCCTTCTAACCCAATTGTGGTAAATAAAATTATTTTATGTTAAATAACCGCCAAGTTTATAATACTTAATATCTGATGTTACACTTTACAATTGTATTACTTAGCGTGAGCAGCTTAATCCTTGAGCATTAAAGCACAAATACTTTTAATACGGCATAACCGACATGTTCTAAGACATGTAATATAGAATAATTGTCGTATCCTCCACGTTCGGCAGACTTATATAACATGTAATATAAGCCCTGTGGTTCCCGTTAAGTGCGTTATCAGAATCAGTATTCAAACGTATATAAATAACACGTAATGATAAAAAGGGCAATGGATTTTCCTCAGATGCTTTCATAAGAAGTTGAAACAAGAAATGCAATGAATGCTGGTAAAAGCTAGGAATACTAATGAGAAGCTTTGCAAATGCACGCAAATTGGCTATGTTTAGTTTCTTTTTTATTCCGTTAAGTGTCGGTAACCAGTTAGAATAATGCTAATACTCTCTCAGAAAGTCTGTGTATGTATAAAATCAACATAAAGCTGACACTGAAGTTCGTATTGAAACACTAAAAGGGTTGATTTCGGAACAACTTACTTAATACCGCACTTATTTTTGCAGTTTCGCAATGGGAACGTAAGCGTAAATACAATCGTAATGACTGACTGCTATTTATGTATGCATATTCAGCTTATCAAATACTAAGTGGAAACGTTAAGAAAAAGACAGTAATTGCTTGTGTTTACATGCAAAGACCAGGCTAACGAAATAAAAAAGTTGTAGATTAAGGAGGTGCTTATAAATGAACGCATTTCTTTTTCTATGATTTACATTATAATATACATTATATATAATATACATTATAATAATATCAATCAACCTTTTTGAATCTACTGTTCAAATAAAACAAAAATCGCATAAAATCTCAAATTTGCCGTTATTTCACATTTTTAAGATACGGGGGGAGGGATGGAGGGGGGGGGCGTTAATGCTGCCCATTTGTGGTTGAAGCGGGCGGCAATACTCCATGCTACCCCACTATTAAATTATTCAACGCGTCGGTGGTGAACACAGAGCTGATATTCTGACTCTGGTAATGCCATTGCCAAACTATATGATTAGAGTTTTGCATAAGAAATTAACAGTCTGCGTTCGAGGTACTGAAAATATTTCGGGTTCGGCATATTTAGATCAGCTCTACAACAGGAGAGGTACATGTTTACGGCTTAATAAAAAAGGCTATATGCATATACAACATGTAACAAAAACCCTATGGTTCCCGTTAAGTGCGTTATCAGAATCAGTATTCAAGTGTATAGCAATAATTTTTTTTTTTTCAAAAAAAAACGCATTTAAAATAATTTATTTTAAAGAAAAATAATCAATTTTCAAGTTTTACGTGGTTTTATTTCCTCTAACTCACACGAGTATTGGTAATGCGGGGTCTTTGATAATCCTCTTACTCCTCGGCCAATGCAGAGATAATGAAAGCACATACAATTTGCAAATTATTTTTTTTTTCATTAAAATAATTTTTTTAAACGTGTTTTTTGAAAAAATATATATTTCTATACGCTCGGATACTGATTCTGATAACGCACTTAACGGGATCCACGGGGTTTTTGTTACATGTTGTATAGTTAATTATATAAATATTTGTTATAGTTCCTATGCTTGGCAAGCGGGTAGGCAACCACAGTTCCTTTATTATATTGAGTTGTTTTCAGAAATACGCTGCTTGCATAAAAGAGGTTAAAATATCATATCTTTAAATATAAAAATGAATAACTGTCCGTTAGTCTCACTTAAACTCGAAAATGATTTCACTGATTTTGATTAATTTTTTGTATGTTGTTGTAGAATGGTCCCTGGATGTTTTAGATACCTATACAATTGGACCCGGTAGGTGGCGCTGTTGTTGACATCCAAAAATCACCCGTACGAAGCCGGGGCTGTTCACTAATAGAGAATAAATGAATATTCCAAAGGATGGAAAATGTGAAGTCCGCAAATTCTTACTCATGCAGTGAAATATGAGAAAGTACATATGATTATAAGATTTATAAACCCAGCGACAATAATTCTACTGTGTAATATTATTATTATTAGCCTGAAATGTCCCACTACAGGGCAAAGACCTCCCTACTCTTTTCACCTATCTCTCTCAAGAGCCACCATAAACCAGTCCATCATGAAGGAGTCCAGTTCATCTCGCCATCTACGCCTGGGTCTGCCTCGCTGAGGTTTGCCTTTTATAGAGACCCATTGGGTCTGGACTCTTTGGACCCACTTCGGCTCATTGGTAATTTAACATTCAGCAGATGTGTCCAGTCCAGTCCCATTTTAGCGTAGCAGCTTTTCTTGCGATATCAGCAATTTTCGATCTCAACGAATTTCGGTATTTCTAATCTGGTCTACAAGTTTAATACCCAGAATACTCGGTTCCATTGCTCTTTGACAAACTTCAAGTGTGAACGTCTGCTGGACCATCAAAGACTATGTCTGGACACCATAAGTGAGGAGGGGAAGTATGCACACGTTCATAAGTTTTCTTTTCAGGGTCAGAGGAAGATCACCCTTCATAAGATCTTTCATAGACCAATAGCTCTTTCAGGCGTTTTCGGAGCGTCTTGCAAATTATTTATCTTGTCTTGCCTGGAAAGAGACTATTTGGCCTAAATAGAATATTTTACACATCGACTCATATTGCAATCTCCACACCGCAATTTTGTGATGAACTTTGTCTTTGACATGTTCATTTGAAGTCCAACCTCGAGGCTTGCTTTGCTAAGATCGTCTAGCATTTGAGTCAACTCGGTCGAGGTCGGCTGAATACGAAAAGAAATATGATATACGATACGATACCGTAAATTTTATATAATAAACTATACTTTAAATGTTGTTGCAAATTATCCGATATTACGAGTACGCTAAATGCCATTGCACGAGATGACGTCTCACACAAGGAACGCCACAAAGCACGGTCCTTAGCCACCTGCATCCATTGATTTCATGTAAGTCCTACCAGGTTGTCACTCCATCTAGTAAGGGGACACCCTACTCGCCTACCTACCCTACTCAAGAACCTTTATTCCCCATCGGTTGTCGGTTCTTTGAGCTATTTGGTTGGTCCATTGCCACTTCAGTTTACTAATCCTTTGGGCTATGTCAGTTACTCTGATTCTACTGCGGATATCCTCATTTTTAAATTGAAATAAAAAGAGTGACCTTGAGCTTCCTCATACGGCCAGCAGTGAAAAACCACGTCTCAGGTCCATCCATGGGTCATCTCTGGTAACACGCACTTGCTGTACAATCTAGTTTTGAGGTTTTGAGTTATGCCTGATTAGAATATGTGTCGTAATCTCCCGAACGCTGCCCAGCTGAGTTGAATCCATCGATTGACCTTTCGGTTGAATTTTGACTTACCTCGTCGGACTATTTGTTCCAGGCTACTCATACAATGGTAACGGCGGGGCAGGGGGTGCTAAGAATCTCCAATGGAGGTTCAGTTGCCACCTACGACGACTCGACCTGGCAACGTATAACGCACGCACCCTAAGGACTGACGAGAAGATACTGGAGCTGGAAGACGAGGTAGACAAGTTACGCTGGCATATTATTGGATTATCTGAGGTCCGAAGAGAGGGGGAGGACTCGGTAATCCTCGAATCCGGCAACTTGTTCTATCACCGGGAGGGCGACCATCTGTCCCAAGGAGGTGTCGGATTTATCGTCCACAAGTCTCTCGTCAACAACGTTGTAAAGATTGGGAGTGTGTCGACGAGGGTCGCGTACCTGATACTCAGAATCACCAAACGGTATTCGCTGAAGGTCATACAGGTCTACGCACCAACCTCGGCACATCCCGATGAGGAGGTGGAGGAAATGTATGAGGATATTTCTAGAGCCATGCATTCCTCCAAAACCCACTACACGGTGTTGATGGGAGATTTCAACGCAAAACTAGGCACAAGAGAAGGCGGTGAGCTGAAGTTAGGGAAATTTAGAGTAGGGCAACGGAACCGTAGGGGCCAGCAGCTGGCTGACTTTATGGAGAAAGAGGGACTCTTTATGACGAACTGTTTCTTCCAGAAGCGGTCCCGCAGGAAGTGGACCTGGTCGAGCCCCGACGGTTCGACAAAAAATGAGATTGACTTCATTATGACGACCAGACGCCAACTGTTCAGTGATGTCTCAGTGATCGCAAGGGTGAAAACCGGCAGCGATCATCGAATGGTTAGAGGCACACTGAACCTAAACGTTAAGTTGGAGAGGTCTCGTCTAATGAAGTCAACACTCCGTCCCCCTCGTGCTCTAATCCAGAATCCCGAGACTTTTCAGCTCGAGTTACGTAACCGCTTTCAGTGCCTAGAAGATTGCAATGCAGTGGACGATATGATGACAAGCTCGTGGAAACTGTCCATGCGGTCGGAACTAAGTTCTGCAAGACCCGCTGCAGAAGAACACAAAAACTCTCCGGTCACACTCTTAATCTCATGGCTGTTATACGGGAGATGAGGCTGCAATCGTCAACAGATTTGATAGCATACAGGCAACTGAACAGACAGATCTCCAAAGGCATACGGCGAGACTTACGCAACTTTAATACTGCTTGTATTAAAGGAGCGATCGAGCGAACTAGGGCTCCAAAGTCTTTGTCAGAGATCTGTCTGCCAGAAAGAGCCAACTGTCAAAGTCGAAGACTGAGTGTGGCAGCATCGTTTCCGGGACACCTGAGATATTGAGTGAGGTTGAGAGGTTCTATGGGCAGCTGTACACATCATCGTTGGAGCCACACGCAGGTGTGAGTATCGATCCAAAAGCAAATCTTACCCGACACTATTCCGATGATATCCTGGACGTCAGTCTGAGCGAGATTAGAATGGCTCTCCAGCATCTTAAAAACGGCAGGGCCCCAGGCGAGGATGGAATTACAGCGGAGCTTCTGAAAGCGGGTGGAACACCGGTACTTGAAGTCCTTCAGAAGCTCTTCAATTCCGTCCTCCATGGTGGCACTACTCCGGAGGCGTGGAGCAGAAGTGCGGTGGTCTTGTTCTTTAAGAAAGGCGACAATGCTTTCTTGAAGTACTACAGACCGATTTCCCTTCTGAGCCGCGTCTACGTTGTTTTCGAGAGTCATTACGAATCGTCTCGCACGCAGACTCGACGACTTCCAGCCTCCCGAACAAGCCGGTTTCCGAAAAGGCTTCAGTACCATAGACCACATACATACCTTGTGGCAGATTGTACAGAATACTGAAGAGTACAATCTGCCACTTTGCCTGGCGTATGTGGACTATGAGAAAGCCTTTGATTCTGTCGAAATTTTGGCGGTGCTACAGTCCCTTCAGCGGTGCCAAGTTAACTGTCGGTATATCGAAGTGCTGAAGTGTTTGTACAGTAGGGCTATGATGGCTATCTGAGTACAGAACCAGAGCTCGAAACCTATCCATCTGCAGAGAGGTGTAAGACAGGGTGACGTTATATCCCCGAAACTCTTCACCGCTGCATTGGAAGACGTTTTCAAGCTACTGGACTGGAAAGGATACGGTATTATTATCAATGGCGAGTACATCACTCACCTTCGATTTGCCGACGATATAGTCCTTATGGCAGAATCACTGGAGGACCTTAGCACTATGCTCAATGACCTCAATAGTGTCTCCCAACGGATAGGTCTTAAGATGAACATGGACAAAACAAATATCATGTTCAATGTCCATGTCACACCTATGCCGGTAGTTGTTGGGAGCACTATGCTCGAAGTTGTTGACGAGTACGTTTACCTGGGACAAATAGTCCGACTAGGTAAGTCCAACTTCGACCGAGAGGTCAATCGACGGATTCAACTCGGCTGGGCAGCGTTCGGGAAATTACGACACATCTCGTCAGGTATACCTCAATCTCAGAAAACTAAAGTGTACAACCAGTGCGTGTTGCCAGTGATGACTTACAGATCAGAGACGTGGTCCTTCACTGCTGGCCGTATGAGGACGCTCAAGGTCGCTCAGCGAGCTATGGAGAGGGCTATGCTCGGAGTTTCTCTGCGTGATAGACTCAGAAATAAGGATATCCGCAGTAAAACCAGGGTGACCGACATAGCCCAACGGATTAGTAAGCTGAAGTGGCAATGGGCCGGCCATATAGCTCGAAGAACTGATAACCGATGGGGAAGAAAGGTTCTCGAGTGGCAGCCTCGTACCGGTAGGCGTAGTGTGGGGCGACCCCCCACTAGATGGAGTGACGACCTGGTAAGACATGCAGGAAGGCGATGGATGCAGGTTGCTCAGGACCGTGCTTTGTGGCATTACTTGGGTGAGGCCTATGTTCAGCAGTGGACTTGTGAAGGGCTGTAATGATGATGATGATGATGAAACATACTCGACAACAACTTCGAGCTTAGTACTCTCAACAACTACCGTCATAGATTTGACATAGACGCTACACATGAGTTTTTGATTTGCCATGTTAAGATCTATCCGTTGGGAGACACCATTGAGGTCATTGAGCATAGTGCTTAGATCCTCCAGCGATTTTGCCATAAGGACTATATCGTCGGCCAATCGAAAGTGAGTGATGTTCACGCCATTGTCGTTAATACCGTATCATTTCCAGTCCAGTAGCATAACTCTTACTATATAATAAGCGGAAATGATGACGATTATGTCCAAATGTTTATTTTTTATTTTATTTGTTTAATTGTCTATATAGACTGTCTGCAAGACATTCGACCATTTTAGAATAGTCAAAAGTTTCACTTCATTTTGGAGGCTAACGTTTAAGGGCCTTATTTTTCGCTCTTATGAGCTGTCGAATGTATGTATTATTTTGTAAGCTTCTTGTGTTGATTGCTCGATATCCGAGCCTTAAGAAAGAGTTCTTCAACCGCTGGATTGAAGTGGGCCGATATATCGCTAATCGCATTATTGGCTTCCTCTGGCGAGTCTATTTTATCGGGGATTGTCTCAAAATGCTAGGAAATTATAGACTCGAATTTGAGTTTACGCCAGTCCACAACAGTTTTGGTCTAAGGGAACTTACTTGTACGCCGGTCTAATCCAGATGTAGTAAGAACGACCTGTGATCCTAGTCCAGTTTTAAATTCGTTTTGATCGATATTAGCAATAAACTGAAGTCTTTAAGTATTGCTACGTCAAGGATGTCTGGATTTTTCTGATAGAGAATATTTAGCAAGTCGGAGTCTCAGGCGTGAAAACATCGAAGTTTAGTCACTTTATCACTGTATGCAAGTGAGATCAAGGAAGAATGCTTGCTGTTTTGTTTCCAGCTGTTATAACATTGGATCTAGATTTAAAAGAGCTGAGATATTGTTCACAAATATTTGCTGTAGCTATACCGATACAATAGTAAGTAACGGATTGCCATTGGAAGCTATCTTACAAATTGAAATGTCCATGTTTGTCAATAAGGGAATGTCTATCGGTATGAAGTGTAAGGACCTTTCGTAGTTGATTAAGGTACTGCTTTTAGGCCTATTGTTACCTCTTTAGTGACTTTAATTTAAAAGCTTGTTTTCGGCCACTTTTAATAAATAGATCCATTGACTGCTGTTTGCGTTGCAACAAAATAACCACGTAGTGTTTTATACTATCATTTCTGTGTCGTCATTCCAATTTTTGTCTGTATTTATTGGGAACTATAGTAAAAGATTTTTAATTATTTTAAACTAGCAATCCACCACGGCTTCGCCTGTATAAGATATATAAATGCGGCATTATTTAGATTTAACGTAATCGAATAGAATTTGTTGTTTTCATAAAATATCTTAAATTTTTCATAAGTAAATATGGCCTGGATCCCTCCTGGAATTACTTTCCATCTGTTCATTAAGTTTCATCACATTCTGTTCAGCCATTCCGAAAATTAGCACAGACATGTGGACAAAAATATTAAAAATGGTTATGTAACTAGTATGGCCATAAATACTGTTACATAAAAACTCTTCTCTTTTCAACTTTTTAATTATTTTGAATTTGGAACGCGTTCATTATTTTTAAAAGTTCTTTCGATTCCGCGCCATTTCACATATTTTTTCGTGTTCATTATCAAATTACAATATGGAATGGGGTGTTGAAGAAAATAGGATTGCGGTGATCGCCTTGAACAAAGTGGGTATGGAGCCGTCGGTCATATTCCAGACATTTCAAAAGCTTGGTATCAGCCGTATGTTCGTATATTGTCTATCAACAAATACAACAACACTTCCTCTATCGAAAACCGTAAAAGATCGGGGTGGCCGCTTGCTGTTAGAACTACAAAGGCTGTTAATGCTGTTAAAGCCAGAATTTGTCAAAATCCTTTTAGGAAGCAAGAAATTTTATCGCGAGAAATGAAGATCCCCGCAAGGACTCTGTCGCGTATTATAAAACAAGACATGAATCTCGGTGATTATCGTCAATATACAGGAAATGCTCTAAATCAATCTTTACAGTTAAAAGAGAGTGTATCGATCAAAACGCCTTTTGTCAGTGCAGGTGAAGAGCACAAAAATATCCTCTTTACCGATGAAAAAAATTTTACGATTGAAGAGCACTACAATAAGCAAAATGATAAAGTGTACGCTCATAGTTCCAAAAAAGCTGCTCAAGTGGTCTGAAAGGTACACGTGGTCATCACGTTTGGTGGGGCGTGTCTTATCAAGGCGTCACGACTCTACATTTTTTGTGAAAACTTCAGCCAAAGTGTATCAAGAGACAGTCTTGGATCGTGTTGTGAAACCTCTCAGCAATACACTTTTTTAAAATGTACCGTGGATTTTTCAGCAGGACTCTTCACCTGGTCACAAGGTACGAACTACGCAAGCCTGACTTGTAACCAACGTTCCGGACTTTATAAGAGCTGAAGACTGGCCCTCATCTAGCTCAGACCTCAACCCTTTAGACTACAAATTATAGTCAGTTTTAGAGGACACGGCTTGCTCTAAACGACACGGCGACATTAAGTCTCTTAAAAAATCTTTGGACCAAGCAGTGGCGAAATTTCCCATGGAAACAGTGCGTAAATCCACAGATTCGTAGCCAGACTGATTAAAGGTCTGTATAAAAGACAAAGGTGGCTATTTTGAATAGAATATTGTTTTTATTTTTTGCTGAGACTTTAATAAATATGTACATATAAGTTTTAGTAATATTAGGTACATTACTAAATTAAAAAAATGCATTTTCATTTTGTAACAGAACTTATGGCCGTACTGGGTATGTCTTAATAACATGTAAATAACTGTCCGTGTATTTCAATACTAAAAACAGACACTTTGATTTAATGTGAATATATAGATTAAAAAATAATATCAGATTTCTATTTATAGAATTATGCACTTCAATAAACCATGCAAGTAATAAAAATATCCTTCATTTTGTTTGCACACTAGCAAATATGGTCGAATAATTATAAAATTTGTAAATGACGTGATGCAATATAATTATTAAAATGTCATAAAATCAAAAGATGTGTTCTTGAAAAACTTAAGCACAATAAAAAAAAATTAAAACTACATTTATGTATAATGGAAGCCCTTTAAATATCATTAAACCTTTACCTTTCTGCATTAACACTTGGTTTTTTATCATTTTGTAAAACATAAATTATTTTGATAAAAAAGAAAAAATGATGGATAACATTTTTTATATTACTTTCTTCTGAATTAAAAGATTACATTAAGCAAATATGTGTATGTTCTAATTTCTCAGAAAGGTAAATTTTTTCAATAGGATCGAGACACAATATTTCTAACGGCGCGTGTGCACCCTGGAGAAAGCAACGCGTCGTGGGTAATGGACGGCACGCTGGGCTGCTTGCTGAACGACTCCGACTCTGCGGCCGCTCTTCGCGCCAAATACGTCTTCAAAATCGTGCCAATGCTTAACGTTGAAGGTGTAATCAACGGCTGGTGAGTACTTAAGTCTTACTTACCCCTCAAAGCACCCTCAAAATTCCCTTTGTAATGAGAAAGCTTAAAACTTTAAACCATATTCGCTACACTTGGTGGGCGGATTAGTGTAGTTTTTATCATTTCGCGCCTTTGATTCTGCTCCCAGTAGCCACACAGCAAAGCTACTAAAAAGTTACAGCCTATATACGTCCTCCTCCTATATACTCTATATACTCCTCTAATTTCTAAGAGGATTTTAGGGCAAGAAAATGTCCGCCGTGCTGCTCAAATGCGTGTTGGCGAACCTCATATGTCTACTATTTTTCTTATACAGGTTTCGTCGCGATGTTTACCTTCACTGCCAAGCATGTGGTAAATCAGCAATTAAAATTGGAATTAACAATTTCATTTATGCCGGCGGGAATCGAAACCGCATTACTCAGGTACTTGTGAAATTTACACTAACAGCTTAGCCCCTGAGCTAACATTGCAAAGCTATGCAAAGTAAAATTGAATTATACTATATTAAATTAAATTTAAACTGGAAACAAAAAATTAAGTATAATTCATTATTATTCTAAGTGCAGTAAATTTTCAAATACTTATTAGGATAATGTTTTTTGTCGATAGAATAAAAATACAAAGTTATCTTTGTTATTGGACTATTTTAGTTATATTCTTAACAGAGTTCGGATTTTAGAAACAGAAGAGACTTAATTTAAATATATACAATCACTAACACCGGATCACTAACAAATGATATGTGCTGTCTATTACAATTTTCTCTAAATTTGCTATAATTTATGAGACAATCGGTTAAAATAATTTTGGCGCATACTTTTTTTTATTTCCACGAAAGGCAAAGTCGTCCATTGCAAACGGACTCTATTTCGTCAATCACTAAATGCTGATAGACAATCAATCACGTTCGTTCGTTCGTAGAGACAGTGTTTTGTATGCGCTCTTCATCACACTCTTCATCATCTGGTGCCAATGAAATGCTTATACCCGATCTCAGCAGCCATGAGATGGCTCTGACCTTTTCCATAGTCGCCTCTTACGCCATCCACTGGACGACGAAATCGGTTGAGGGATATTTAACGCCACTCCAACACGGCAACTTACTACGACTACTAGGTAAGTAGGTAGTGACACTTGCATTATAGTCCTTTTGACAAAAATATTTTAGGTAGGAAATAAAAGAATAAGCGATAATAATTTTTAAAATTTATTAACTTTGCTACATTATCTATTCTTTAAATTTTTGAGTTTTAACTTATTACACTTATCTATTTACGTCACGTATTATAAACATAGTCTTACGCTATCCCAAATGATATGTCCAGACAGTAAATTAGCTTCAATTTTCTTAAATAGAACTAGATATATTTTACTGTTAAAATGACAATATCGGAGATCTGATACACACTAACTTGTATATGAAGTCTAGGTACGATTTTCTTGGAGTAAATTTACGCAATGTCCCTAATTTCTGAAGACGTTGGCAAGTCGAGTAACAGGAGTCGCCAGCACCTTCACGCTAGATAACTACCCTAAAACCTTAAATATTCCCACTTTTTCGAAATTATACACAAAAATACTTAAACGTAATAACTCTCATTTACATTTATGTAATATGTATTAACTGGTGTCTGTAATGCACCGTCAGAAGTAAGCAAGAAGTCTCAATAATGGTCTGAACACGAGACATCGTTTAATAATGAATAATACTTTTGGTAGAGAATATATCTAATTGTCATGAATAGTTTACACTAAAGCCGTCGAGTCGGACGCTAGTATGCGGGTGGGGCCAGCATGCCGCTGGCGTGGACGGAGTGCTCTGTGGCGTCCGGTTCAACGGTTGACGGTGCGCTCTCACCAGCGTCGCGCCCCTCTTGGTTCAAATACGCGGAAGCGTCGTCTCCCACCATGCCCTCGTCGCCTCCATAAGGCCCTTGGGTTGGCTCCTCCTTTTCTTGTTCCTGGTCGTGGCTTCGAGCGTCAGACGCGCGCGAGTAGTGTGAGTCTATCTGCGGCGAGGATTTGTTCAGAGCTCCGGTTTTAAGGTGTGGTGAACGGAGGCCGTCGAGAGACGAGGGCTGCAGCTTGTCGAAGAGAACGCTGATGTTAAAGTGTGTTGGGAGATGCTCGGAGCGCGGCGGTGGCGGTGATGAGGAGGTGAGTGGGTGCGCAGTCGTCGTTGTGGTCAGGGACAGCGGTTTCCTATGGGATAAACGAGCAAACAACCCTCATGTTAGAGAGTGGCTTGCATACTGCTATAGCATCACCCTCTTTAAGGATGATATTAAGCAGTTTTGTTCACAAATGAGATGATACTAATAAACGTTATCACTTTGGTTAGAGATACCAAGCAAAGCCCCCTTCACCCACCCACCAAATGTATATAAATTTAGATAATCCTCCGAATCGTTTAGTATCTTAATCAAACGAAAATATAATTAATTAAATACTACGCTAATTGCTTTTGGGTGTAGGGATCTTGTTTGGTGGTTGGGTTAACACAGAGGCCTAATCCCGCGGACGCGCGCTCTTCGGACACCATTAACGGGACCAGTACTTATAAAAATCTACATCTGAAACGTTAGCATACAAACTACTTCATGTATAATCGACATCTAGTAACTACTGACCCATGTTAACGGAGAATGTCGTCCTGATGACATTTTCGTTAAAAGCTGTGCATAGAGTAAGTATTGTGCAATGTGAGGGGAGAACGCGCGGCTGGTCGGGGAGCGGGCCTCCGGAGACGGCTGGCATCTCACCTGGCATTACCCCTGCGCCGAGGACACGGGGATGGAGCCGTAGTTGTAGTAGTAGCAGCGCGTCTGTTCGCAAATGAAGTCCTTGATCTCTCCGCAGTGCTGAGGCTCCCAGTGGAAGTCGGGCTGCTTGAGCGCCACGCAACCGTTTGCCATCACGTGCTCGGTCCTGGAATACCTATAATGTTTGAATACTGTTTTATACATACAAAACCAGTGAACATTCAGTTGAACGATTTCTGAACAGAATAACTTGGCGTACTAAAGGAAAATTATAAAGAAAGAAATAAAAAAGTAAATATTAATAGTGTACATGATGTACACTCGATGTAGTTATTCGATTAACTATTCATGATATAAATGTATCATGAAAATAAAATTGAAATAATATAACTTGACGTGATTGACTTCTTAATCCTAAATACGTATATCCTATATACGCAGTAAAAGCAGAGTAACCTGAAATGGTAATGAGCCGGTCATATAGCTAGAAGAACTAACAACGTGGAAGAAAAGTACTAGAGTGGCAGCCTCCTATTCGTACTGGCAAGCAAGTGTAGAGCGACCCCGCAATACATGGAATCACGTACTGATTAGAGAGCCAGAAAGTTGATGGATTCAATTGGCTCAAAACTGATTTGAACTGTTTTGGAATACTCCTTGGGGGAGGTCTATGTTTAGCAGTGGACAGTGATGGGCCATAATCATGATGAGGAAAATAATGATAACTCGATGTTGTAATGCTTTAATCGGTTATCGGTTTCTGCATATTATGTTGTCTTGCAGATGTTTAGTTTCATGTAGACATTAAATCCAGTTCTACATAAAATAATACCACTTTAATACTAAAACTAGCTAGATTTAAAACACATACCCATGTCTAGCAGTACGCTGAGGCGCGGTGCTACCCTGAGGTAAATCAACGGGGTCCATGCTGTCATCAGAGTGCTGGTAGGGCGTCACGTTGCTTACTCGTCGCATGTAGTTAAATGTTGCGTTGAAAGGCAACCCCGTGCTCATCCACAGGTACATGTCTGTGCCAAGGTTGTTGCCAGACGTCCAGAAGTCGTACTTGTTGTATCCTGGAAATAATTGTGGACATTGTAATTTTAATTATACCCTAATATATGTTTCGGACATTTTACATGGATTTTAAGGGAAAGAATACGCCACCTTTTTTTCCAAAGAAATGGGGACTTGCACAAATCTATTGGAGTTTTTGACGAGCCTGTACTACTACTACATTGACAAGAAGTATTACTAGTGTGAGGGCGTCAGTTCTACACTTACTAATCCACCTGCGTTGTTAGTAAGTATGCCAAAAGACAAGAAATGCTGCGGACTACTTGGCACATTCTTGAAAAGTTATATTTTTAGTAATAGCCTTAAAAAGCTATTGATAGGTTAAAAAGTTATCGAAATATTTCTTCGTCTGTATGAGATTTTGTTATGATACGGTCATACGATTCCTGGTAAGAAACATTAACGTGCTAGACACACGCTGCAGCTATATTATGGTTGCAGCATGAATGGGTCGGCTCGACCGGGGAATGACTACGCACTCACAGAATGTAAGTGAATATAAATAACCGGAAACCCCTTTTGCTGGTAGCGTCGCATTTTGATTCTTAATCGAAAGATATAGATAGGCCACAGCATCCACTTAACTCGTGTGCTCGTTTGTAAGTCATGTATCATAAGTCATACACATAGGCATTTACACTTTTTTCTAATGCCAACATCAGGCACGCACAGTGGTGATTATTTTTAGGGTTCTGATATTCGAACTTAATGTAGTTACTGATGATGAGTATCAGGAAATATCCTTCTTGCTAAAAATTACAATTACTTTTGAATTCAAAAAAAGCAAATAGAAAATCCAAATCATAAAAAGTAATTTAATGCCAACCGACAAAAATTGGAAATAATTTATACCTTCTTGGAGGAGACGGAAAAGCAAAGTACTCGTAAATGTGCCAAACACATCGTAAAATACTCATAACCACAGAAATCTAAATATTATGATGTTTCTATAATTTATTATTTAGATTTCTGTGTTCATGAATATTTTTGTATAACTTTCTTTTCTTCTAATATTATTTTGACAATTTCGCTTCATTTTTTTTATTTTTATATTTAAGATATTGCTTTAACATACCTGCATTTAAGAGATAAGTGGTTATAGAATCTGCTTTTTCTTTTGTTTCAAATGAAGCGAGCTGCAGACCCAAAGATCTGAAAA